TATATAATATATATAGTTATATNTATATATATATATATATATATATATATATATATATATAATATATATATATATATATATATATATATATATATATATGTATATATATATATATATATATACATATACATATAAATGTACTTATAATAAGTAGCCACGAAATGCTTGCAAGCCTTGTGTTCTGCTTTGGTATTTTAACTATAAATAACTTGTGTATAGGTGGTGTTCTTGACGTGTCATTTTCACCAGATACTTGTGTCCTTTACCCATACATTGGCAGCAGTCCTCCATAATGGGATTTCGAGTGAGTTATATATATAGGAAAATCTACGGAAGCGCTTTCCACTGTTGTACAGCGTATTTACAGGGGTGTATGTCGTTGTCGTATACCAACCCAGTAAATATTTCACGACGAGTGATACCTGATAAGTACGTAAATAATCCTTGTTGGAGCCTTCTAAAAAGAATGAATTTGTTTTTACACTGTGTGAGACTGTGAGACTGTAAGTGGGTGACCTGCACCTGGAATCATTCATTTTGACATGCATATGTACTCTCCCATTCTCTGAGACTTGAGAGAGAGTAGAGAGTATGTAGAGAGAGAGATACTAAAAAAACCCCGTTATCTCTATTCTCTCGCTAGTCTCACGCAGACTGACTCTCAGACTCAGAGTCAGAGCCTCCTTTTTATTCTCGAACTTGTTAGGGCCAGACTTGTCCAGTTGTCCAGGACTCAGTGGTACCGTCCGCTAGTACAAACAAACAAACAAACAAACAAACAAACAAACAGTTTTTTTAATTTACATTTCCTGATCTAGAGAGTCAGAATGTGAGCCAGCCCTCAGATATGCTCTTTTATGTATGTGGATTGTGGAAGGCTAAAAAAAAAAATAGACTTTGAGTGAACCGTCGGCGTCACAGTCCGACGTCCATGATCCCGATGACCCGATCCGTCAACACAGGGCCCACTCAGGCCCAGGGCCCAGGGGGCAGGCTTTTAAGTTCCAAAATTCCAACTTCTAAGAAGTGTTCCAGACTTGCGCGAATTCACGGTTCCACCAGTAACCAGGGTTTGCCGCGTAAACCTTGTTACCAATCAATTTCAATGTGGCCGTCAGCTATCTTACGATTTGGTCATATGATAAGGAAGTGTCAAATTGTCAAGTAGAATACAAGCGTGGGCTGTGGAGCCATTCTGAGGTTAAAATTAGATCGCTCATTTTATACGGCCACTCACGGCACGGTAGACCCGCGGCGTTGGTCAGTAAGACAGTCATGATATAATTTCTCGAGTATATATAATTTTTTTTAAATAAAGCACATAAGTGATAGGACAACATACAAACAATATTCGCGTGATCCGTGGCTTTGGGCGGGCCTTCACCGAAAATAGGCCGTGACGGCGGGGTTGAATTGTACCATGGTCAAACCCATAGATGTTCTTTTTTTTAGGAGCATATGCCATAGTAGAGACTGGAGTAGAAGTGTTTTCTCTCTACTACTGGTAGTAGAGTGGGCTATGCAGAGAGTGACAAATGAACTAAATTTAAAAAAACACAAACTACTATAGATATATATATGTATCGAATAATATACAAATCTTCACAGTAGCAACTTCAAATAAAGTACCAATTAGTATTTGATTAGAACTCGCATTCATTCACTATGACCGTGCTCGATATCTTCACAATGTTGCTGACTCTGCCTCTGCTGCCCTTCCGGTTGATATGGAGTCTGTTCAACCAGGACATGAAATATTCACACGTCGAGAATCTGGATGACACCGTCGGCAAATTCACCAATGATTTCAATAAATCGCTCGAAACAAAGGTATGTATATATATGTACATGTGTGTGTCTGTGTGACTGTGTATTATATATATATATATATATATATATATATATATATATATATATATATATACACACACACACATATATATATATATGTATATATATATATATATATATATGTGTGTGTGTGTATACGTACACGTGTGCGTGGGTTTAAATTAATCTGAGAGATTGTTGTGAGTTCCACGTAAGGCATGTATCGGCAAGTAGCTACATACCGCTGTAGACTGTTTCACAAATAATTTTTATAATACGCCCGAAGGTATACAATCTTTAAAGAAACTTCCTAGATTTTCGACGGTCGTTATAATTTGGATTCAAGGACATAAATGTATATCTATGTATTTTTTTAGGGTTTTCGACCCTCGACACTCCTGTTCAAATCGACAATTTGGATGGTAGTTATTAGGTCCTTTATCTGTATATGCTTGTATATGGTACCTTATCAGAATGTACGCGACTGTATCAATGCATGATATAGTGACTTGAGCAGGCTGTAGTATCCCTGGTTGGTGGAAGACTAGAATACATCTTGAGTGCTTTTTAAGCACAGGCGCACAGGCGAATACAATCCCTTTGGGCTATATATCTCGTATCGATAGCAAGCTAACAAGCACATGAGTTCTGTATTAAGGATTTCTTGCCGTATATTCGGGTCCTCCGAATTCGTAGGTCACAAAAGTAGTGGAAAGTTTATGGGTTTTGGTAGTTATTGTCGCAATTTGTTTATTCCTCGGTGATACCTTCAAACCCGCAAGTATTACATCAACAATGATATGGGCATATATATATATATATATATATATTTATATCTGTGTGTGTGTATTCATGGGTTTATACAATAAAGATATATGTATATGTGCGGGGATATCCTGCTTCACTCTTGACAGCTCACAATCCCAAACGCGCGCACAGTCAACTGGTTCTGTTCGTGTCCATTGATTATACGGTGCAGCCTAATATATAGACAACATACCGGAATCCATATGCATGCATGCGAAATTCATAAGTCTGTGTCTATATCACACGTTATAATCACAATTCATTCAATATATGCGAGCTTTTTTCCATCTCCAATTTCCCTCGGTTGGAACATTCTACTGTACAATACCAGTGCTATTTATAAAAGGTCGACATCATGCTGAATGTATTTCATTCTAATTTTGTGAATTAGATTCCACGAATCGCTTGATAGCCGGGCTGGAACTATTGTAAGATGTTTATTATACACCGCCTCTTAACGGCCCATGAACCCTAAACCCTAAACCATAGTACATGATGTTCCGGCTGTATAAGCGCACTCAATGACTTACAAATTCAAACACATTCATATACATCCCCCAGGATGACCAGGCCCGTCGCAGCCAGTACACCAAGACCACCTCCACATTCTACAACCTCATCACCGACTTCTATGAGTACGGTTGGGGCCAGTCCTTCCACTTTGCACCCCGTTACCATGGTGAAACCTTCGCCGAGGCCATCCGGAGGTACGAGCACTTCTTTGCGGCCAATTTAGGGCTCGATTTGTCCCCGATCCAGACCATCAACCCCACCCAGCGTGTTCTGGATGTAGGCTGTGGCGTGGGCGGCCCTATGCGGGCGATCGCAAAGTTCCTGAAGTACCGTGCGCGTATCACAGGCATCAACATCACACGCGAACACATCAAGCGTGCCCAGATGTTCAATACCAAGGAAGGGATCGAGCACTGCGACTTTATCTGTGGCGATTTCAACAAGATCCCCGTGTTGAACGACTCCTTTGATGCGGCCTACGATATGGAGGCCACCCTACACTCTACCGACCTTAAGACTACCTTCAGCGAGATCTACCGCGTGCTCAAGCCCGGCGCCAAGTTCGTCTCGGCCCAGTACTGTCTGTTGGATGCCTATGACGGAAGCAAGGAGCACAAGGACCTAATCCGAGTGATTGACAACACCAACGGTTGCTATGTCAGTGGACGTACGGTTGCCAGCACGAAGGCTGTCTTCGAGGAAGTCGGGTTCAAGATCATCTCAAACGAGAACGTGTTTGACAAGAGCGCACACAGCGACTACAGCTTCACGAGCAACTTCGATGTGGCTGAGGGGGGTAAGTTCACGGGCACCAAGCCCGGTATGCTGCTGACCTTGGCCTTCTGTCATATCGGCGAAGGCTTGGGTTTGTTACCCAAGGGTACCATTGAGGTGCAACAGATGCTTATCAGCGCAGCCGACTCGTTCAAGGAGGCGGACAAGCTGAACCTGATCACACCCGGGCAGTTATTTATCCTGCAGAAGCCGCTGCAGGACGAACTGGTTGGTAGGTAATTTATTTATAGCATGGTAGGTAAACCATATATAGGAACCACCAGATCAATAAACACAGATGGGAACTATCTACTCGTGTCGGACTATGTTACGTATGTTATGTTATGTGCACGGTGGGGTACGGCATCGCCTTAAATTCAAGTGTTAAGAGAATGTTTGCCGTTTACCAGAAGGACGAGCTAATTGACAGGTAAATACATAGGAATAATAGGCATGAATAACAAACACAAATGGATCTACTATTGAAAAATACGCATGAATAACAAATACAAATGGATTTACTAATAAATAATACGCATGAATAACCAACACAAATGGATCTGCTAGTGAATAATACGCATGAATAACAATCACAAATGGATCTACTAAAGAATAATATGCATGAATAACAAACACATATGGATCTATTGATGAATAAAGCGTATGAAAAACAAACACAGATGGATATACTAGTAAGTAATACGCATGAATAACAAACACAAATGGATCTACTAACGAATAATACGCATGAATAGCAAACACAACTGGATCTACTAACGAATAATACGCATGAATGACAAACACAAATGGATCTACTAATGAATCTAAACAAACACAAATGAATCTACTAATGAATCTACTCGTATCGGATTAACAAACACAAATGGATCTACTACTGAATCTACTCGTATCGGATTAACAAACACAAATGGATCTACTAATGAATAATACGCATGAATAACAAACACAACTGGATCTACTAATGAATAATACGCCTGAATAACAAACACAAATGGATCTACTAATGAACCTACTCGTATCGGATTAACAGACACAAATTGATCTACTAATGAATCTACTCGTATCGAACTATGATAACTTTCATGTGCACAGTGGAATGAAGAATCTCCGAACGTTTATTATAATAATAATAGAAGGCTGTGGATTTAATCTCAAAAGAGAAAATGCCTGCCGTGCCCTACTTACTAGCCACGTGTGTGGTTGGTTGAAAATAACATGTGCGGGTGAGTATAGTCTATCCTGAGATCGCCCGATCTAAACGTAAACGTCAATGAACGAACCACGCGCATTGACGAATGGCTGAATGTGCCACAGCCACTACAACGCTACCAGGCAAGTTCGGTTGCAGGTAGTGAGTGTATGTACAGTAGAGATGATAGTTATCTTGAAACACCCGTGTGTCTGTCTATAATAACTCTGGAGCCGTCATACTTTCTAGGGCGCTGCCTAGTTAAGTATGTTCAGATCAGTCCAGCGTTTTCATGGACGATGCTGATATGGGAATAGCTCAAGGAATATATCTATATATATATGATATAATACAATATGTTTATACCGTACTTAACTTGTGATAGCCAAGCAGTCATCCACCGCTCAAGCCTTGTACACTCAGCTCGTCTTCGCCCATCCCTCCACAGCCACCTGGCCAACCAAGATATATACCCAGTAACAGACATCACTCACTCACTCACTGACCCACTTTCCCATGCTGCCATATCTGAGCACACTCCCTGTGTATGTGCTTGAGGATTGACCTAGCCGTAGTCCACTCTCCGACCAGAGGTGCATGATATGCGCCCGTGCAAGCGCGCCCATATGATTATGGCCAGGTGCAAGTTCAGTAGTACACCACACCTACTCTGTGCAGTCGCTGTGTGTGCGTGCTTGAAAATTGACCTGTCCGCAGTCCACTCGTTCCGGCCAAAGGTGCATGCCATTGCACGGCCAGGTGCAGGAAGGGTAGGACATCCACGCCTACTTTGCACAGTCTCCATATGCGTGCTTGAAAATATCCTGTCCAAAGTCCACTCTTTCCGGTCAGAGGTGCATGCAGAATGTCTCTCCATCCATACACCACTTTCGGCCTATGGCAAGGTGTGGGCGAACCCAGGAGCATCATTGACCTTTTCTGCACACACTGTCTTGCCCGAGCACGCACGCACACGATTTTGCAGAACCTCCGTGTCCTATTCAGCTATAGCTATGATGTCCTAATAAGCTATAGCTATGATGTCCTATTAAGCTATAGCTATGATGTCCTATTAAGCTATAGCTATGATGTCCTATTAAGCTATAGCTATGATGTCCTATTAAGCTATAGCTATGATGTCCTATTAAGCATAGCTATAGTTTAAGTTATAGCTATGTCCCTGCACCGGGATGTTTCTACCCACTATGAGGGGTCTGGAAGTGGATGAATAAAGATGCCCCGTTTCACAGTGCACAACCTTGCGCAAAGATAGTGAACTCGATATATATAGATACTCCATTTCTTCATGCTAACCTTCCAGAAAAGATGGTAGATTATATATATAGATAGCCTATTCATTCGATAAGGTACTAAGCTGAATTAACATATGCTGTTCACCCGTCCACAATCTTTCAACAAGGTGATGGCTCAGTACTTCTCGGCAGCCCCATAGTCCCACAGAACCCCACCCGTACACGCACACACACACATGCCTTGTGTTCGTGCTCAGCCGGCTACCTGTACAAGCCCGTGCTCAGCCAGCTACCTGTACAAGCCCGTGCTCAGCCAGCTACCTGTACAAGCCCGTGCTCAGCCAGCTACCTGTACAAGCCCGTGCTCAGCCAGCTACCTCTACAAGCACGTGCTCAGCTAGCTACCTCTACAAGCACTGCTTCATACGCACGCACACACATGCCTCATGTCTTGCTCAGCTACCTGTACAAGCACTCCATACGCGTGCCCATCCCAGCTAGCCTCTTCAACCGTGCTCCTGTTTTAGCTCAGGTGAAATATGAACACATGCATACACTTCAGCAGTATCCATTTGCCCCTGATATAGCTCAGATGTTCTATGAACATATGCATACGCTTCAGCAGTATCCATGTGCTCCGCTAATCCCGGCAGGAGTTTCCTGGTACGGAAACACTTCTTCAGCCTACCAACAGTAATCACCTGGCTGCCCTGCTTAACTCTGATCATATCAATCCACACCCCTACGACCCTATACATTCATCTACACCCCGACAGCTCAGGACGTTCATATACACACCCTGCTGGCTTTTAGAGTTTAGGGTTTAGGGTTCGAGCTGGTAAGCGCTCAGTAGTACTCGTCAGCCCCTTCTTCCCACAGTGTCTTGCCTGAGCACGCACACACCTTCTTGATGTTCTCTCCCACACCCGCCGAGCGAGCGATCAACCCACAGGCCACAGACCCTGCGAGTGGGTGTACGTACAGGTGTTAGATGGGCTTAATAGTACTGTAACAGTACTACGAGCATGCATGCATGTATGTGGGTAGGTAGGTAGGTATGTATGCATGTATATATAGATGTATGTATGTATTCTATTTGGGACAGGCCACAGA